GATGAGGTGTTTTTATTGAACTGAACTGAAGGCTCGTCTCAGGTCTTCTGAGGTCCTTCTCAAAGCATTCTGGGTTTGGTATAATTAATAACTTTAGGGATGTCCGTGTTTCATGTCCCTTGTTCCACAGGCACCTGAAAAGCCCCCAGATGTTTCACCTTCATACACACCAAATAATCATTGGTTAAAACTGACAAGGAGAGTGAGGTGAAAAAGAATGTGGACTAGATACACAATGTCAGAATGTTAGACTGTTTCATCACATTTAAAAATATTAACATGACATTCCTTTTGAATGTTTTCCTTTCAGTTTTAGAGGGGAAAAAACATCAAATGCACCTGGATCAAAACCATTTGCTGAGCTTAAATCAATTTTTACAGGCCCCTATTCAAGTTTGGTTGCAATGTAATTTTGCTCTGATTTTAAAATTGTTCATTTCTGAGAAATGAAATACCTGATGAAATGAAACAGCTCAAGGTTTTACAAAAACGTATTATAAACTTATCAAAGCTGATTGAGATGCTGGAGAGATGTTTGTGATTAACAAATTCCTACATCTATCTTAGAACTCTTTGACTTTCTCTCATATGCCTGCATCCACATATATACGTATATGTATACATGAATACATACAGTATGTGTGTGTGTGTGTGTGTGTGTGTGTGTGTGTAAAATCACTCTAGACAAAAATACCACACTGACTGAAAGGGCCACTGACAGAGATACAGCTGTGAGTCCTGACAAATAGCTGTGGGTTCAGACACAAGCCATTCTCAGGCCCTGCCTGCTGACGTCAATCAGTCAAATTAGCCCAGCATATGATCTGGCTGGCTGCTCTTAGCAGCAAAAGACAGACTTCTGGAAAGGTCAGCATGCCACAGCAGAGACAGAGCGGTGCTTAATCAGAGGTGAAATAGTTTCTTTTTCCAAATTGATTCTACTTCAAAACAGACAAGAGTGTCTTGTGTGAAGCCACTTAAGGAGTTTGGGGGAACGCAGCAGCAGGCACTTTTGAGTGGACTTAAAGCAAGACATTAACAAATAAAAATGATCCTGGTGGCATCTGGAGCAGAGCCCAAAGAGCAGCAGATCACATCATGTCTGTGTCTTTTCTCAGTTTTTCTTCTAGGTTCCTTTTGTATTTGTTGCCGTGCCATGTATGTACGTATGTGCACACACACTTAAAACCCATGTATGTAAAGATAGAAATAGTGACCAATCAATGAGAAAATGGCACAGACTTTAAATTCTCCTGTATTGTGAGACAGACGAGGGTCAGCAGGTCAGGGGTTCTGGTGTGGATGCTCCTGTGCTGTCTGCCTGACGACAGGAGCGTGAAGATGCTGTGGCTCTGATGACTGAGGTCAGAGAGGAGCCTCTGAGTCCTCTGTCTGCAGTGGTCAGGGTAAATGTCCTGTGGCGTGTGGTAACACTGACAGGGTGATGGGCTGGACAGTTCTAACCACCCTCTCCTGCCAGGACACTCTTAATGGTGAAGCTGTAGAAGAGACACAGTCTCCCTGATTTTATGATCACACCCTGATGATGTGACCAGCTGAGGTTGATCCCTGGTAATGGTACCAGGTGACCCTGTCCACTGCAGCACCCTTGATGTGGACGGGAGTGTGTCCTCCTCTCTGGAATCTCCTGCAGTCCACTATTCTGTCCTCTGTTTTGGAGGTTGTTGTCATTGGACCAGGATGTTAGTGCTCTGACCTCCTATCTGTAGGCCATCACGGCCTCTATGTCTGTGCTGCAACCAGTGATGGTGGTGTCGTCAGCAAACTTGACAGTGGTGTTTGAGGTGTGTGATGATACAGTCATGAGTGTCCAGTGAGCTGAGGACACCATTCTCCATCTGTACACAGAGGAGCCAAGAAGAAGAAGAACACTTGAACTTGAGCCTTATGATCAGTTTAGGTGGCAGGGACGTAGCACGAGTGCTGCTGCTGACGCTGCTGCTGCTGCTGCTGCTGCTGCTGCCGCTGC